TATCGCTCATAAAAAAAATTTTGTTACGTCATAATTAAAGTTCAATAACAACGACAAATTTAAACCTTTTAAATTACCATTGCCATGCACTTATAAACAATAATTTTTTATTAAGCTCTTAGCAGTAACTGAAGTAAAAATTTCCTCGATTATTTCTCTAAACTTTAAAAGTTTTAATTTCATGACTCAATTTCGAAATTAAGATACATTATTGCGAATTCACTTTGCCTTATACCAATATGTTCTAATAATTAGATGGTGTAACGGTTGGTTGGGAGAGCGACGTACAAGTAATGCGCAGTGTAGCTCCAACCGCTACTAGAAGTTATGTGGATTTAATAATAGAAGTCTTCTATAGGACTGGGTAATTCTATTATGGCGACTTAATGATGGTGTGAAATTAAGGAGAGAATATCATTATGTCCAAGTTACTTTATTATGAGAAAAAGGTTCCACCATTTATTAAATTAATGCTTCACTTTTATACATTCCGATTAATATGAAAGAGAACACATTCTGGAACCTACTTTATGACATCAGAGGCACCATGCTATCGTGCTGGATATTGTTATCAACATATTACCAGTATTGTACACTTAGATAATTACCTGACGGCTCTATCACATACTGATAATAAAAATCAGCGTAAATAATGCCACATTGATTGATTTGATTGATGAAAGAGTAATAAGTTGAAGGGTAAAGTAATCAATTAGACGCAAATTCTTACATTTTATCTGGCAGTCTTTTTTTAGACTTTCCGTCCTTGGTTTTGCACGATAACGTCGCGCAACTATCTAGTTTAATCAATTGCTTGAGTTATCCGTGTATGAAGACACGATTACACTTATTAATTTATAAGGGAAAAGCTCTACATTTTGCTACTTATGTTATTTGATAACATTATGTAGAACATGTACTAACGCTAATATAATAATAATATATAAGAAAAATAATGAATAGAATAAATAGGAAATATAGTAGATATGCGTGCACACAAAAATGGTAGATGCCGATAGTTAATTCTGTAATTAGCGTAACGATCTCGATTACGTGATATCGAAGTACTCGAAAACTAATCCGCTCTATTGAAGCAGTCAGGTAACAGTCTTTATAAATAATTACAATGACCAACTTAATACATTTTTGGAATTTTTATAGCTGTTGATTTTTAAAGACAAATGTATTTTTTTTAAATTCAAATTTCATATTCATAGTGTAACCGTTGAATGGGAAAGCTAACAAAATAACACAGGAAATAGGCCAATCTAACTCCAACGGTGTACGAAAAATAAAGCTAACTTTGGGTAATCGAAATGGGGTTTTTTTATAAATGTTAAGGAACTAGTAGAGCGATAGGGCACAATAGAGTAATACTTTGATATCAATAAGCGATAATAATGGAGTGATGCAATGGCGGGTGATGCTGTTAAGAGTGATCTTAAGGACTATGATGATGATCAAACGAAATCTTCTTAAAGATAGTGATGTAAAAGCGAACGTAAGTCAGTAAGGTCAATGGCAATATTTGATTCCACAAGTACACCAGAATTCGGATCTTAATAAGCCAAATCGAAGTAATTGATTCTAAAGGGTTTATTAAAGTTACAAGTCGAATTCAATAGATAATTCACAAGGGAAAATTCAGATAAGTATAAACTCTTTATTAGTTATTAGTGAGTGAAAGTGGACAAGTACCGTATTTGCGTGTAATAACGCACATGTGTATTTCGAAATTGCCACTTTTTAAAAATCGTCTATTTGACTCAAAATAACGCATATGTGCGTTATTTCGGAATTGCCACTTTTTTAAAAATCGCCTATTTGTCTCACCCCTAAGAGTTTGCACGATAAATATAATTATTGCGCACATGTATATTAAATTATTGACAATATTGATCCGAAATATCGCACATGTGCGTCTCGAAATAATGCACAGGCACTCAAAATACGGTAATTGAATATCGTTCTTTATTGAATTTCAGGCACTTATATACATTTTATTTCGTTAGAGCGCTTACGCTCTTTTCTTGATCGTATACGCTCTTGTTTTGAGCAGTGTACGCTCTTTTTGAACGTATACGCTCTTGTTTTGAACGTATATGCTCATGGCGCAGAGATCAACAAATTTAAGTACGTATACGCGATTTTTTTGAGCGTATACGCGCTTGCTTAGAATATGCCATTTTAGTATACTTGATTAAAATATTTACATGATATGAAAAAAAATCGGTTACTGCTATGAAAGATAGGATTGAAAAGAGCTATATACATAAAAATAATAAAAATAAAACTATACTGATATATGTAAATAAGATAAAATATAATATAATAAAATAAAAAAAAGTAAAATTTTATTCTTTACAATTGTAAGAGTACATCTAAATTTTTAATTAATAGAAAAGATAATATTTATGAATTCTAAAATATTTTTTGTAAAGTTGTATATTATTTTGCACCGAATCTCTTGATGCTTTAATTATACACCATAGATCCTGATCCCAAACTTAAATTATTTATTGTCTACTTATTGTACATATTACTATCAATGTAAACTTATTCATGTCACTAGATATATGTCTATTAGAAATAAATATATGAGATAAAATTGCACTTATAATATATTAGAGACTCCACTGCAAACACAATTTTTGAATTACGTTAAATCAAAGCTTGCTACGCATGACAAGCATTAATTTATCTTAATCAAATCTACACAGCTCTCTCTATGAATCTACAAAACATTGACACTTCACTCTGTCGGCATATTTTACAAAAATTGTTATAAGTCTTATCTTTTTTCCATTCGAAATAACTGTTATATAATGTTTGATTATTAGCAACTTCATAAATATACTTAGCAAGGTCTTCTGCGTTTTTAAAATCAGTTACTTTTATTATTGAATGTGGCGGAACATAATCATCTATATCAGGAGCTCCCATGTATATGGGGATAGAATCAACTTTAAAGGGATCATAAACTTTTTCAGTAACATAACCTTCACAATTTGAATTCTCGAATGCGAGAGTAAATTTGTAACGAAGAAGAGTATCCAACTTTACTTCATACATATGGCTTGCCCAATAAGCTGTAGCTCCTTCTTTAATACCATACTTGTTTCTAATATCATCAGGTATTTCCTGGTTATGAAGACATCCACCAAATGAGTGAACTGTAATATATTTCATTAATTCTTCTGCGTATTCATTCCGATTGTTTGCAGGTTTACAATTACCAGCCATCCATGCAATAAGAACATCTGATTTTTTTTGATCAAATGGTATATGAATTTTATAAAAATCAGGAATCATATCCTTAGTTATTTCATATGTCGGTTGGAATATATCAAAGATTTTTGCGGGTGCACCCATGGTTATATCGAAGAGACTGCGAAAAGTCTCGAGGCCGACAAACCAATAATAACCTAGACCCTCATCTGGAAATCTAAACCACCAAGATTGTCCAGCCTTACGTGGAGGCATTTGTGTAGTCGAATAATATGGTGGATCATCTATACGAAAAAGGAATGGGTAATCAAAATATATTACATCTGCATCTCGCCATTGCGTGTAATTAGAATTTATACGGTATTTTACTCCATTTGCGCATGTGCCCCTTTGTTCTGACTGGATAATCCAAAACCAACATGGTGCATAACCTCTAGGCCATTCTAACAAATTAGGGATACGGCGACGAGCAAATTGCCTAAATATTTCTTGAAAGAATGAGGAAAGTTCTGGTGGGTAAGGGCAGAGATCTTGGGAAACTGACTCCCAAGGCATTTCAGAAATACTTCCAAACGTGAGGTATCGCCACCAAAGAATTGTTAGTTCTTTTGATTTTGCATCTATAAATTGGAATTTATGGGGAGGTGTATTTTTGCGAGGTGGAAGACTTTCGCAAGAAGAGGGCATATAATCTGTAGAAAAAGGTGTCCATAGTAATTTTACAGTTTCTTTTGTTGCATTACTCGCCATAATTTCACTAGCTTTATCGGTTTCAACAAGTTTTTCTTGACTCCATGAGATGATTGATTGCATAAAATACATTCCGACTAGTATAGACAGTGCAACAGCAATTACTAATAATTTCCATGCATGTGAATTTGTAAAAACAGTCCAAGTTTTTAGTCTTTGACTAGTAGACATTTTCTCTTTTTTTTCGGATGAATTAATAATTTTTATAGTTTTCTATACAATTATGTCAGAGAGTGAACATAGTAATTGGGAACGAATTTTAGGTACAATCAACCTCCTTATTATACATTTGTGATAGGACCATATGTGTGACAAAGACCATATTTAGGCTTAAAACAGATTAACGGATTGGATTGCCGTTTAATTTACCGTTACATAATTATGTAAAATTTGTAAATTTGTATTACAGTCCCGGATCTTAAAGACTATTCTAGAACCGATTTATATAGTATTTTTGTTTTTTTAAAAAAAAAAAATCATTTAATAATAAACCTTCGAATTAAATTGTCTTATGACTATGTAGTCTAAGAATCCGCCATGATCCCAAGGGCTTTAAGAAAACGGAAGTCTCGAGAATTTTCTAATCATACAAAAAAGGGGGTGATCTGCAACATCCAAATTTGGTAATATCCAGGACTGTATTACAGATTTATGTTTGTAGGTCATTATACGACGGCTATATAATTTCTTATTATCTGGATGATAGCAAAGCACGTGGCCGAAGGCCACGTGCATTGCTATCATCCTGTTGAATACCCATGACTCCGATCATGCCAGATAAACTCTGATTAATAATAAGCATTAATAATTCGAATGGTGGTATATAATGATAAAGGAGCGATTGTGTTTTGATCCAACTCTTTCTTTTACTATAATTTCACATAATAAACTACCAACCAACGAAGACATTTTAAAGCCCTTTAAACTCTCGCAAATACAAAATACGAATAAATGTATGGCAAATGGTTACTAGCAGTTGACGGATATAGAAACATACTCAATTATGAGTTCGAGATTTTTCTTGCAAATTTTTCATATGGTTAAAACGAATAGATAGGAAAGAATATAAAGTTAAAATATCCAGGCTTCTCTCACACGATATTTGGACGAATATTCAACTATTAAGCCGTGCAACATATTGGACTCTTACAAATTCAGAAAGCGTTACTAAGATTATCCTGAAATTTATAATGGTATTTATTAGGCCACGCAGGTTGATTTTTCATTTTGTATTACCTGCCGGCCCATTTTTTATTCAAATTTTCAATTTTTTTAAGCCCAATTGTGTCAATTTATTCTATTTTTGCCATTTAGTTGTTTCATAAATTACTTGTTTTCCTGAAATTATCTGATAGAACTAATAGACTTCCAACCCAATTTTTGATTCCATGTTTTACAAAACGAAAAATCAACTTTTACGGCTTTAGACGTGAGAAAAAATTCAAACCAACTGAACGGGAATTTTGAAATCTGTGTAATGCAAAGCGAAAAATCAACTTGTGCAGCCTATCCATATCTAATTATGAAATAATATAGAATTCGTTGATTTGATTATTATTATTTTTTTTTTAGATTCGAACTTAGTGACGTCAGTAGAACTATTTACACTTAATAATGGGCTATAACAATATTATGAGAATTCAGGTATGTATTATTCTAATTACTAATTTATTACTCATAACATATTTTAATTACACTTATTATTCGTATATTCGAGTTATCCTACATCTACCCGATTTGATTTTTAGGGGTTTTTTTTCGATAAACCATTACACAAACTTCTGCTATTAAGTGACGTAAAGAATAACAAACGAAACCTTCAAATAAAAT